CCAGAAGAGGAAGGAAGGGGGGATTAGTTTGTTGAGCTCTCGTTTTCTACTGTTTGATATTTGGTTATTGTTGGTTCAGATAGCTCTACTTGAAGCAATCTCTTTTATTAGCGCTCTCCTTGATGTGCAGTGGGTTTGTATTATTTTCTCGGATAATCTACCACCTAAATCAGTTTCTGAACATATTTGCTTTCTTTGTTGGAAATTGAAATTGGATATTTATTTTTCCTTTGAAGAGAAAGCAAATTGGTTTTGTTTTTAGTGAAATGGGATGTTGGGGTTTTGATATGATCACCGGGGAATATTTGGATTTTTTGTGGATTTCGAGGAGGAGGAGATTAGGGTTTGTGTTCAGGGTTGTTTTTGGATTATGGTTTGGTTTTGTTATGTTAAAGCCAGTGGCGGATTGAGACCAATAAGGGAGGGCTCGGTCATGGGGGGATGAGGTTGGTGCTTCTTAATTCCATATGATTTTTCGTTTTTGATGTTAACTATTTGTTAAATTTGATTCTTTTTTCCATTAAGCAAAGATGAAATTTTTATTTTGCTTCTGGATGTGAAATTCATAGTTGTTATTGATTTATTGTGCTTCTGATTTTTGTCAAATTTGGATTTTTTTCCCGCATTAGTGCTTTACTCATTGCAGTTTTATAGGTTTTGACTAGCTATTGTTTTTTTTTATGTATAATGAAATGCTGCAAAATGGAAATGGGAAATGTCAAGTTTGATGATGGAATTTAACAATCTTGCCCAGATAACATATGTGGTTGGAACCGGAAATTAGGTTGCGTTTATGTGTAGATTTCATAATGGAGAGCTAATTTCCAATGCTCGAAGTTTGGGGTTCTATGATCGTTTAATATTTTGAAAAATTTGACCACCTTGATCTAAAGTTAATTGTTTGTCTGGTGCAAATTATTAAGAAAAAAAATTGGGTCTTCTGCCGCTGTTTAAATTTCCATGTGTTCTTCACCCCTTATCCTCTTCATTTTGGGTGCTGTAGATTTCTTGATATTCTTATTGTATCCTGTAGTGGCTGTTTGTTAGAAAAGATGAAAGCGAATTGGGTCCATTTCATGCATGGAACATAACAGGAACTTATCGAGGTAAGGAAATTTTCTCAAATTCAATCATATGCATATTTGAGTTGATTCATGGGGGTATTTTCTGGATCTTATTGCATATGGCTGATGTAGCATGCGGTTTTGTGATTGATTGCTTGTGTTGTCTTGCCTGCTTCATCTCTTTTTTTCCAACACTGTATTTTATTTTATATATCACTTCAGTTGTTCATGATTAGATGATGAGTTTACTGGAAAATATTGGTAAAATTATCTTTTGCCAAAGACTCAAAACCCACACTCCATGAACACTCAAAGTAAAACGGAAATGCAAATTTATTTACCAAACCGGATGCTTTGTGTCAATTTTTTCTTGATGACTAAAGAAAAAAAAAGAAGCCTTATTTATGAGGGAAACTAATGAATTGTCTAGCTTCCAAAAATATTTTTCTGAGGTATTTAGTTTATCACTGAAATAGAATGGATTAACTTCAATCATCGAGTTCATTAAGCAAGTTTATTTGTGTTGACAATTGTTTGTTGGTTTGACTTGGAAATTGCAGGCAATTGGCAATTTCTGGAGTCTATGAATAGCTCTTCCAAATTTGCCGATTTCAGGAAATCAGCTGGTGATTCAGTCATTGAATTAGTTAGCACACCAACAAAAATAACTGGTGTACATTATGTTCAGGTAAGGGGGTTCTTGATCATATTAAGGAAATTCACTCTTATTTTGCTTGCCCTGTGAACTTGTTAGGATACTTGAACTGTGTTGTAGATGCAAAATATATACACACACGAGATATTTTTTATAGTTGGCCCGGAGACATGATTTGGTTGTTAGTGATAAGAAATTCCATGACACTGATGATACCCTGGCTATCTTATTGAGTTTGATTTTCTTACATCCTCTTTAGGTTTTTGCCTAATCATATTTATTCCTTTCTTTGTAGTAAGAACACTCTCTATAAAGACTATAGCTTCTTAATAGTGTAGGCTGTATCTTACCATTTTTAATTATTATCTGACTTTGTTTCTCATCCGTGGTGGCGTTAACAGGGTGTAATTATTTTCCATGACGTGTTTGATAACAAACACAATATTGGTGGTGCTCAGATAAGGGTAGAGGGTGTATATATATGGCCTTTCAGACAGCTTCGAATGGTAGCTAACAGGTAAATCTGGAATATGTTGATTGCTCATTAAAAGTGCTTTCATCCTGATTGGATGTTGCTTGACTAAGAAATGCATACTAGTCGACTAGCTGCAACAAAAGGGTGCAAATAAAAGTATTCCAAACCGTTTTTACCTAATTTTTAGAGATTCTATTTGACTTGGGAAACTTTTGGGAGAAGGGGAAGAGGGGGGGGGGTTCAGAACTCAAATCCACCAAATTACCAGCAAAGGCAAATGAAATATGTTTGTTAACTTTCTCACGTCCATGCATATCTCTTTTAAGATGACATTTTGCGAATGCTCATTGTGTTTCAATTCTGACATATTTTACTGGCACACCATTGCAGTGGAAAGGAGGGAGAGCTGAGTCAGGAAGAAGATTATATTTTGTCCAACCCATACCATTTGGTAGTGCTTCGTATCATACTCATTTGTGGTTCGCTGGAATATATTTATTTATTTTTTATAATTGGGGGAAGGAGCTAGGGATGCTAGGGGATTGAACCCAATTTCTCACACAACACCAAAGTCTTGCCACTAGGCTAAGAGGTTGGCACTAGCATTTAATGTTGATTCTACATCATATTTGGAATTTGAGAGTGGGTTCAAATGTAGAAGTCCCCATATAATGCTTTGCTAGTTTGTTGCTTTTGTCTCCAAAAGTTTTTCTTTAGAGTAATGGTATTATCTGAGTGTCTGGTCAATAGGACAAAACAGTCGACTGCTACTTTATCTATATAGTTACAGTCTCGGATTGGGGCTATTTATCCTATGTATTAGATTTTTGGCTTTTTAACTTGAAGAAAGTTGATACGTGGCTAAAATAAATAATTTCCTTTCATGTTTCACTTCAGCCTGAGGTCTCTTTGGTCTTGCAAGACTTTGAATTTGTATTTCTGAGTTATGGGCTTTTATTTATAACCGCGTATTTTGCAGTAGGCTCTGGATGACTATGTCCATAAGTTGCTTTTTAGTTAATGTTTGAATTAGTATTGTGTGTAGCAAACAGTTTTTGTGGTCCTTTTTTATAGATGTTTATTTATTGTGATTACTAACTTGCAATGTCTTTGAACAGCTTGGAGTTTTCTCATCTCAAGTGTTCCAAGATTCTCCACGTGACAAAATATGGAGAAGAAAATATTGTAATTTATAACTATGTTGCTTTGCTTAAGCTCAAGTTAAGTATGCAATATGGTGAATGTTGTTTTCTTTTATTGCAGCACCGATTTATGAGATGGAGAAACATTGCAATATAGAAATTGCTGCCCAAATTTCGCGCATCTCATCAAGCCAAAATGGTATTTGAGTTATCTCAACTTCTTAGATCATTCATCATGCCTCATCCTCTTCTTGTACTATTACATTCTTCTCTGGTCTATTTCTTGTCCAGCGTATGGGAATCACTTTTTACCAAATCTATTAAATTAAGAAATTCAAGAAGAAATATTGAATTATTCCTCATAGGCTTAATCAGTAAATTGTCATTGCAAACAATTGGGTTCCCAGGTATCTGGATTGTGTCTGGGATTAAGGGCTGATGGTTTAATTTATGAAATGTCCTGGGAGATGGTGTTTTATTTATATAGCTGCTCTCGTTCATCTTTTTGGAACAAAATAAATCTCAAAATGTCATTGGAATGTGCATCAACCGGAAGCAACTTACCAGATAATTCTTGCAGGCAAAAGACCAAGTTAATTTCGCGAGTTATACATGGGTCACTTTTTACGGCTACAATTTTTTTAATGTTGACCACAAATGTCTCTTGGGAACAGATAGTACTAACTACTATCTACTATGACATTATGAGTATTCAAATTCAGTTTTTTGACCTTTTATAGATGGAGATCATGATCGTTATCACATCGAAGGATTGATGGAGAGTCCTACAGTGGATGATGATGGAGATTGTTTCTCACCTATACTATTAAATGCGACTTCTGTCAATATTGAAGTCTATTACAACAAAGCAGTTAACTACACCTTAATGGTCACCTTTGTATCCTTTATATGTCGTCCCTTGTCATTTTCAATGCAATATAACTGGTCTGTTTTGCCTGTATTCCTTAATTGTTTATCATCAGGTCTCTTTCCTTCAAGTCCTTCTGTTAATCAGACAAATGGAACATAGCAACACACAATCGGTAAGAACTTAAAGTATATATATTGTAAAGGATAACCGAACAAGCTTATTTTGCATGGGTGCTATATTTTGATATAGCGTTAACCTTTAGTGATTAATAAAAGCTTTTTTTTACTCTTATTTATCAGGGAGCTGCAAAAGTTTCAATTTTAACGATTGGTCTACAAGCTATCATGGATGCTTATCTTTGCCTCTTACATCTCACTGCAGGAATACTGGTTGGTGAGGATTAATTTACTGTCCCAAAGAAATGCTAATATTATTTAATTCATCTGACATATGTTTGCAAAGATATAAATATATAAAGAACATAAGGTCTCTCCTTTTCCTTTTCAATTATATCCATTCCCTGAAGTGGTTGAACTCTATTTGCAACCAGAACGGGGATCCAAGACTAGAACTTGATGAATTATCTTTGCATTGGTCTCGGTATGGACTATGGGCACTATAGTTCTCAGATTAAAAATGATTGCTAGAAATTTCAAAGATTATTCCTTTTTACTTGTGGGCAAGTCTTGTCCAGTATCAAATGTGAATGGTTTCATTTGAAAGCGCACATTGAATCTGCTCTGCACCTGATAGTAGGCTGATGGCTTAACAAAGAATAATAGATCTCTTCTACTACCCTGCTCTTTTCAAAGGTCTATGTCTACTAAGTTCATGTTGCATTTCTTTATGCAGAATCCTTATTTAATGCTTTTGCAACGGCGGCATTCTTCAAGTTTGTAGTCTTCTCCATTTTTGAGATGAGGTACCTTCTCGCAATATGGAAGGCAAGTAGGCCTATGAATAACGGTGAAGGCTGGGAGACAATGAGGCGCGAGCTATCTGTTCTATATAGCCGTTTCTGTAAGTGCCAGAAAAGCTTTTGCATTTGTGGATTGAATTTTTTTGTACATATGATTTGCCAAAAGTGATGTATGGAGTATAGACAAATGATTATTGTCTTTTTCTCTTGCATAAACTTACCTGGCCACCATTCACAATCATTATTTTTGTTTCTATGGATTTTCATAAATCATGCTTCTTGTCCTTGATACTCGGTCTAATCCTGATAGTGTTCCCAGTTATTTGATGCTCTTAAAAATTTCACTATTCATACACCATATTCTATCAATAGGATATACCTGGGAAAAGATTACATGTCCATCTTGCACTCCCTTGCATCTCTATTTAAAATAAGCAAATCTAGTTGATCTCTTTAAATCAAGTATCTTTATATAAATCTTAGCATTATTATCTTGACTGATAATACAAGGTCACTTAATTTTTTTTCTTTCCATAGGTAGAAGAGCTGAAAACCTAGAGGATAATACAGCCATAGACCAGGCCGGTGTAAAATTGTAAATCTGTAGGAAGCTTAGTGTTAGTAAAAGCCAAAAGATGGTTTCTTGAAAAACTAATTTGACCGTCTTTACGGTTATAGTAGAACATCATCCTGAACCTGAAACTGAAAGGTATAGAGAGAGTGGAAAAGGGGGTTGTGGATGGCATAAGCACTACTTTTCTAACATAGGAAATGATGCTAGAAAGTCTAAAGTGGATTATGGGTGTCACATACTAAAAGGAAATTATATCATTTACGAGCGATACTTTTAGAAATAGTTTGAGAAATGATCAAGGGAGTGCAATTGATCCCTCTTTGTTCTAAACGGTCCTCAATGTTAGCTGCTCAATGCCCTTACTTTTTCAATGATACTATATCCTATGAATTGCTTTTGGAATCTGTTAATTTATGAAGTTTATGTCTAGTTGATGCATTGCTCTGATCTAACTAGTACAAATATCTGCAGATGGGATCCTTTTAGGAGGCATTTTGATCATGTATGAGTTTCATAATTTTTTGCGGCCCATACTTCTCCTTCTGTACTCCTTTTGGATACCTCAAATAATCACCAATGTCATTCGTGATTCAAGAAAACCTTTGCATCCTCATTACATCTTAGGCATGACTGTTACTCGGCTAGCAATTCCATTATATATATTTGGATGTCCTCACAACTTCATGCGAATCGAGCCTGACAAGAGCTGGTGTATCTGTTTGGGTGTATTCATTGGACTTCAAGCATCCATTCTTCTTCTTCAGCACTATCTTGGATCTCGATGGTTTATTCCTCGTCAGGTCAGTTGCAGTTTTGTTATTCTTTTCATGTATAACCTTTTTATTCATTTCTTCAACTCTTTTATGATAACTCATTAACCTGAGTAAGTGCACTTCTGTTGCCAATAATACCGACTCGACTGAAAACACCTTGGGGGCGTAGGCCAGGGTTGGTTGTGATTAGTTTAGGACTGTTATAATGAAGGTCTTCTTGTGGTTAACGAATTCATTTTTCTTCTCAACCCTCCCTTGTGATAGGGGAACCATTTTCTTGTGGAACTTGTTATCACTGTAGATTGTTCCTTTCTAGCCGTTTCTAAATTTCTAATTCAGTGAATCGTGTATTGTTCGTTTTTACAACCTGCTTGTTCTATAGTGATATGAGCTTGACCTGCTGGCAATTTTGGATGTTCATTTTCTCAAGTGTGTTAGAATTTATCTGAAGCTTCCAAGGACTAGTTATGAAGATTTTACTATGAACTTTTGGTTTGCAGATACTACCCGAGAAATATAGCTATTACAGAAGATTTGATCCAGAAACAAATCATACCACAGACTGCGTCATTTGTATGACTGCCATTGATGTTACGCAACGTTCAAGAGATTGCATGGTATACTGTTGTGTTTTTTTATTCTTCAATTGGTGGGATATTCAAGATCATTTTCTTGAACCGGTGGACTTGATTTAAACTGCATTTCTCTAACAGGTAACACCGTGCGATCATTTCTTTCATTCCGGTTGTTTGCAACGGTGGATGGACATAAAGATGGAATGCCCAACTTGCCGCCGTTCGTTACCGACAGCTTAAAGAAAAATTTTCCACTTTATCATTGAGGTAACGACTTGATGCCAGTCTTGACATGTGAGAAGAAACGGGTTTTGCTTTTCTACCTCATAGGATTTGTATTTCCTTCAAACCTACACAGAATCAACTTGTAAACTTTGAACATCCAAACTTTAGTTCTTTTCCAAGATATCGTTTCAAAAATTCTTCCGAGTTTGCGGTTTCGTTTTGTTTATCCCTTGATTATATCAACCCAAATCACTTGTATACATATATTTTTCAGGTTGAGAATAGAGTCCAGTGCCCACATTTTGCCTGGTTCCATTTCCAGAAGATGACTGAGATACAACATAAGCAAAATTTAAAACCGTCGAAATTCTTGTGTATTCATTGTATAATTGTATAAATTTCATGACCAAGTACTGATGGCCTTTTCAAAAAAGGGCAAAAAAGAAAGTGCAAATTGTTTTAGATCACATCCATGACTTCAATTTCCCCCCCTCCCCTAACTGTCGTCATTTGTTAAGGGAGAACGTGAAATCCATTGCAGAAACAACCCAAGTACTTGATTTTCTTGGTGCTAATTGCAGAGCCTTGGTATATATTTTTGTATTTCTTCTGCTTGAATCATGCATCGAGTCAAATCCATGTTTATGGCTACATTAAACCAAATGATGAATTCAATGTATACATGTAAAGGATCACTTCTATTTTTTTTTAATTTATGGCTACATTACTTAATTTAAAGTATTATATACTTTCTTTGTAATTATTTATGAAAAAAGAGAAAAAATAAATCATATAAGAAATATATATATATTAAGTACTTTTGCGAGCTCAATAATAAAAACAAAAATTTATATCAAATAAATAATTAAATATATTTAATTATTTAAAACTTAAGATTAATAATTGAATTGAATATGAACAAGAGTGTAACAAATATAAGCCTTGTTAGAGAAATTAATCAAATTATGAAAACATTTGAAACTGATTCAGGTTTTTGTTCTCTAATTTATATGTTTCTCTCCTATACACATGTGGCTTTGTATATGAACGAATGTAAAATTTTATATTAAAGGAATAAAATTGAAAACTTATATAAAAATTTTAAGAGTATAAAATTTATTTTTTTAATAAAAAATTAAATTATATTGAAAATTTTAAAATGTTAAAAAGTACGATCACGTCCCAGACCTATAAAGCTATCACATATATATAGTTAATAAAATCACATAAATCCAATAAAGCATATTTTTTAAAAAATAAATTAATTTTTAAATTAGACCATATAATAATCATTTATGTTGTATTTATAAAGTTAAAAGGTTGTAATCATTATATCATAAACCCAACATTACTCATGACCAAAATCACAAAATATGAACCATATATGTAAACAAAGAAAATGAGACAGACCCAAAAATTTATATTATAAAATATAAAGTTAAGAAATTATATTAAAACTTTTTAAAACGTGAAATTATAAAATTTTACGAGATACAAAATTAACTAGTCAATAAAAAATACAAAAAATCTAAAATTCCTAAGAGGTTCAACACCCCTCGATCTATACATGCTCAACCCTTGCATCTGCATTGATAACCCAATTGGTGGTCCTAGCCGCTTTCTAAACCCAACTATCTTCTACGGTGCATTTCCATTTCAATTTTTGTAATCAAAACTTTATATTAAATGTGTCGGACCACCATTTACTCAAATTTCATATAAGACATTGTTTACTCAATGATTTCCTTTACGGTAAATTACATCAGTCAGCCAATTTTCATAAATTTTTATTTTGATCATCAATAATAATAAATGTAAATTTAGCACCATCGCCGTTAGATATATATTTTTTTCATTAGTCATTCTCGTTAAACTTTGTAAAATAAATTATTTTAGATTTTATTATAGATTAATCACCCGTGTTAAATTCGGTTGTAACGAGAATTTTATGTATTTTTTTTTTATTTTCAACCAACAACTAAAATATTTACACATGAACCGGATTTGTTTATTATTATTCATTTAAGACCGATTGAGTTGTTTCATGAAATATTGTCCTCTAATTAAAAAAATATCAAACATTTGTCTAATAAATTTTGACCCTATGCATCTTGGATAATTAGTGTTTAAATACACCCAATATTTTCTTTAAAAAGTAAAAACTCTACATAAAATAAATGGCTAAAATAATAATAAGATTTAAGATGAGTGACGAAAATAAATTTACAAAAAAATTAACAGTAGTGCCTAGAATGAAAATAAAATGGAACATTAACGACTAAAATAAAAATAACGTCTAACTGCAGTTACCGATTTGTGATTTTTTAATTTTCTTGAGAATTAAAATTTTGTAAAAAAATGGAAGAGTAACAGGTGTAGTGTATGATTTTATTATAGCCAAATTACGGGATTGACATTCATGTGATGTGTTGAAACGAGCTTTCCAAAATGAAGGCATGATAATAAAGATAGGCAAAAAGGTCCGTGCGCCACCAAAGCCACGGCATCTCGCTGTCATAGGGCCACGAGTCCCCCGCCCAACCCCCAAACAGGGCGGTGATGATTTTGATAGCAATTTAGCACTTGGTAATAGTAGCCGCGCCCACTCACCTTATTTTGTCTTATTCTTCTTTTCCTTACGATTGACGGTTGCATTCGACGTGCCCCAGACACTTGGCTCGCAAACATGCAACAACACAAAATAAAGGGAACCGACCCCACTGAACAACCACCCAAAA